CACCTATACTATAACCTCCTTCCCCCCTCACCCCTCTCCCTCTAATCAATGTTGTTGCACCTATCAGTGGTTGCTTGCATTTTTGTCCATTCAACATTGTTAAGGTGAAGGGAGCTGGAGGGAAAAAGGTACTCATGGATTTGGGCTTCCTGTTTTGTTCCCACTGCCATCTTGAAAGGTAGCCGTGCCTTTGTATAGAAGCAAGACAAACGGTGAGCTTGCAGTGACAGAGACATTTGAATAAAAAGTGTCCAAGGTCTCTATCATCACAAGCTCACCATTCATCTTGCTTCAATGCAAAGGCACGGCTACCTTTCAAGATGGCAGTGGGAACTGTGAAGGGAACTATTGAATGGCCATAAACACATGCACACACTCTGTTCAAGTTTTCAAACTTTATATATTTTACCAATATGTAATGTTTTACTAGTACTTACTTCAATAATGTTTAGGAAGTCTTAAAGAAACTCTGTGAATGGGTATCAGAAGAGAAAAAACATATTCGATTTGGACATTGGAATGCTACTGAGGTAAAAACTGTCCCTCAACTGACAGAAATACTCCAGTTTTGAATTCTCTGTTGCACAGGGTTAGCCTTGCATTTGATGCGGCTAAATTCATGAAATTTAGGCGAAGTTAAAACCGAGACAATGCATGCTGCTTAGCTGTCTTCCCAACAATAGAGACCTTTAGATCTGAGTACGAGTACGAGAACGAGTGTTTAACTTTTAAAGAGAGGCACTATCTTTTTGTAGTCRTGATCATGTACGTAGATTGAAACTTTAGATTGTAAAAAATTGGAATTCAACTATGATTCAGTGTTAACCACGAGCACAGGACCAATTTTAAAACTCGTGCTAGTACTTGATCTCATACTCGTCGTCGTATCTAAACGTTGATACTGTGCGGGAGTGACCCAGGGCATTCTCAGGGGCTTACTTGCTGTGTTTCCAATGCTGGTTGATTTGCACCAAGAGTTTTTCTCCCACCGTCCCTCCTCTGCTAATAGGTTCTCTACAGGTGAGTATATACTCCACTGAATCTCAGTGTGACAGGTACCAGTGGTGAGCTGTGGCCTGGTTGCCATGGTTACCTTCCAGCAGGGACGTGATCTTTYGCAACCCAAGCTCGCCCTGGTAACTAACCCCAACTCATTGAAACAACCCTTATTGAAAAAACGTCAGGTTCAAAAAAGGGTATGTCATCAAAGCCGAAGGGGAGCATGGGAAGACAAACAATTATGCTGATTTCATGCGTATTGCAGTTCCCTTCCTGTGCACATTTTATGCATCATGGCTTTGGCATGTTGTTAATCTAGCTTGACCGACTTTGCTCTACTGTGCATTTTATGCAAATATAATGCACATTTCAGAGTACCCAAAATCCTTTTCGGYCTTAGCTTCGATGATATGACCTACTCGAACCCGACTACGTTTTTTCAATTAGGTGTATATAAGACAAAAAATATGTGTATAATAATTTATTAGTAACATTCAAAGTAAAACRAAAGAAAGTCATGAAGGTATACTATGTATTAGGCTTAATTTTTTACACAGGGCAAGTAAAATCACCATTACGTGTGAAATGGTTATGTAAAATGTATAATAATCTAATTTTTTCCAAATTTTTGGGCAGATTGAGGTTTTGAACAAGCATTTATTGCTGACGTCAAAACCTGTCATATACCTCGTAAATCTGTCCGAAAARGATTACAATAGGAAAAAGAATAAATTGTAAGTAATAAGTAATATTTATTACTTCCCTTACCTTAATCACTAGGTGGTTTGAAGTATGTGAATGAATAGATGAATGGATTAATGAATGAATGGGAAAAGATGAGTAGCTGACTAAATGAATGGATGGATGAATAATTGAATATAGGAATGAATGGGTGGGTGGGTGGATGGATAGTTGATTGAAGAAATAAACTGGTAAATGAATTAATGGATGGATGAATGAATGAATGAGAATTGAATAAGAAAAAAAAAATGTAAAGAGTTTTGGTAGTAATAGTAAAATGATGTCATCTTTCAAACGGCCCATTGCCCAGACTATCAGACTATCATTTTTAAGGCCTGAATTATTGTCACCTGCAGCACATCCTCTTGCTAACTTATGACCAATCCCTAAATAATGCTGTTTCTTCTTGCAGCCTTCCTAAAATCAAGGTGTGGGTGGATGACTATGACAAAGGGGCAGCAATAATCCCATTCAGTGGAGCTCTTGAATCAAAGGTAACTTGATTTTATCAATCTAAATAATTGCAAGAGTATCCTTTACAATCCTTAGGGTTCGTGAAGGCCCTTGAAGTCCTTGAAAAGTCCTTGAATTATGATACAAATTCAAGGGTGCTTGAAAAGCTCTTCAAAAAACTTGGCTTCATAAATGTAAATAGTTGCAAGTGTTTCCTTTATGACCCTTGGGTTTTCGTGCAGGTCCACAAAGTCCTTGAAAAGTCCTTGAATTTAGTGATACAAATTGAAGGGCATTTAAAAAGCTCTTCAAAAATAAAAATCATTGAAAAGTCCTTGAATGCTCGTTGAAAAGTAAAACCAATACCGTCAAGGTTGTGAGTTTTCAAATTGAAATAATAGAATAGATATATAAAAGTGGTAAAAAATAATTGATAAAAATGACATCCTTATTTCTGATTTTTTTATTATTTGGGCTACCTGTGGTTACCCTTGAGAATCTGTGGGGGATGCCAAATGTTTATGTAACCATGAACAACAGACAAAAAGCAACAATTAAAGCTTTAGGCAAATGTTTTTGAAATATCCTTGAAATTTCAAATATTCAACCTTGAATACTTGAAGAAAACTCATTGATTTTACTATGCAATCCAGCACAAACCACGAATCCCATACCTTATTATAAATTTAAATCTGTCTTTCAGTTTGTTGACATGAGTGAGGAAGAAAAAGAAAGTTACTGCAAGGAGCACAACACACAGTCGTGAGTGTCATGATATTACATGATGTCAATGATGATGATGATATTATGATGATATGATGATGATGATGATACAAGATGATGATACATGATGATGATGGTGATGATACATGATGATGGTGATGATACATGATGATGATACATGATGGTTGTCATGATACATGATAAGATATATGATGATGATGATACATGATGATGATACATGATGATGATACATGATGATGATACATGATGATGGTGATGATGCATGATGATGATACATGATGAATGATGATGATGTCAATGATGATGATATGATGATGATGATACAGGATGATGATACATGATGATGATACAGGATGATGATACCTGATGATGATACATGATGATACATGATGATGATGATGATACTTGAAGAATGGTTATGCTGCACATTACGCCATAATTATACCTAAAAGTATAAAATGTCAATTTCAGTGCATTAAATAAGATTATCACCACTGGATTCAAAGCTCTTCAACTGGAGTACTTCTTCACAGCCGGAAAAGATGAAGTCAAAGCTTGGACAATATTGGTACATAACAACATAGATTCAGTAAAACACCCTGTTTACTGACATTCCATAGGCACTTATCTTTCAAAATTTGTTTTCCAACAATGTCAAGAAAACATTTACACTGACGTCCAAAACCTTATTTCATCACGAGGGCAAATTTTACAACATCACCTCCCCTCTCCCCACGGGGACCTTACATTAATAGAAGTACATATACTGATGATTCATGTTTTTGCCCAACAGAAAGGAACCAAAGCTCCCCAAGCAGCGGGCAAGATCCACACGGACTTCGAGAAGGGATTTATCATGGCGGAAGTTATGAAATTCTCTGATTTTAAAGAACTTGGTTCTGAAGCCGCAGTCAAGGTGATGCTTTGATGTATTCAAGATTATCATAATAATAAGAGGGGAGGTGGTGGGGGAGATTTGTTCTCCCTTTGCAACCTGAGCTAATTCAGCATGTCCTTAATTACTTTCATTGTTTTTAGGCTGCTGGTAAATACCGTCAAGAAGGCAAAAGTTATGTCGTTCACGATGGAGATATCATCTTCTTCAAATTCAATGCTGGAGCAGGTTTATCAGACAAAAAGAAAGTTAAATAATAAGACCCAGACCCCCACGTCCAAATATCACCACAGGAATCCTGATTTCAAAATCACAAATTCGTTCCTGCTTGAACGACGAAGCTGTAGAAATTTAGCTCAAATATTTTAATTAAAGTAAAGATATATTTACTTTTCACTAGAAACCGAAATTCGATTCCCATGCTTGGATTGAAAGCTTCGTGAAAAATATAAGCACGAATGCCGAAAATTGTTGCTATTTATTGACAAATTGAAATTAGCCAATCCCAAAACTTTAAAAAATCGTGGTCAAAATTCTACTTTTTGTAACGAAACTGGGTTCGCTTTATCGTAAAATGCGTGATATCCGTTACCAGCTCATAAAGAAATCAGTTTCGGGGATTTTCGGTACAAAATCCGTAACGCGGATTGAGGTTCGCGTAGCGGGGGTAATGGCAAACTGAAGACCATTGTTCCGGCTTTATGTCAGCAGTTTGCGTCGAAATATTAGCGATAACCAAAATACAAATATTCTAATGGTAATGCGGCAAATTCTGCCTCTGTATTCCGACCATCCAAAGATGAAATTCTTCTTTTATTCGATCACCGGGAAAAAACGTATTTTCGTTATTCGGCCAGTCATCGATGAAGCTGACCTCCGTTATTCGACCAGAAAACCGGTCTTTTTATTCGACCACCATCATACTGTCATGCCTGTTATTTGAACCGCCGATAAAGAAATACACCTGTAATTCGACCAGCATGAGGAAATTAACCTTCGTTAATCGACCATCCAATTAAAATATCGTCACCTCCGTAATCCGACCGATTAATGCCTCAATTTTAACCCTTTTTTATTAACTAAGAAAAAAGTAAAACGTGCAAACTTTTTTGTTGCTTTACTTTTGGTAGTTTTTGCTACAGGAACGAAGCAATAGCAACTAAAAGGCCTGTTACACTGTGCAATTTTCCCAGCAACTTAAAGTTTCTGGAGAACTGCAAACTTAAACAAGGGTTATGCGCAATTTTTGTGGTTGCGCGTAGCGTTGCATGAAATAGAACTCAGTTCTACTTTTTGCAAAGGATTGCAGCAACTGACAACGCCATTGCACAGTCCATCGACCCTCCAACAACGCTTTCTCGCAATTTTAGGCATATTTTTCAAGAGCGAATACGCACATTTCTAATTTCTTTCCGAGGTGCCAAAAGATGTTGCAAGTTGCTGAGATCGCGCTGTAGTGTAACACCTCACCTCGGCAACTTGCAACGCTAAATTTTCAAGCATTGCGAGACAAGTTGCTTGATTTGAAACCCTTATTTTTGTCACAGGCAGGCGCCCCATCTCGTATTTCTATCATTGCGCCCTTTCTCCACAGTAAAAAAAAAACGTTTTAATTTTATAACATCAGAAATGCCGATAAAATTTGGTTATGCAAAAGTAATTATTTAGGAGCTCTATATAATTCTTATGCTATACAAGGCTGAAATGATTTCTCTATTTCGCCAAAAGGTATAATGGGCTCCCTGTGGTGTAGTGTGGTGCTCTTCGCGCAACGTTTTTGAAGTGCGCACAACAGTAACAGCATCACACGTAAATCTGTCAAAACTCGCTGTCATTAGGTTCAACAGACAGGTCATTTAATGGACTGACACTGCTAACGACGTATCTTCTGTGTAAGGAGAATTAAGAACCAGTAAGGTTAGAAATTAGATTTAAGTTATCAGGTATATGAAAAGTGGAACTTTTAGAGCTCTGGTTGTCTGGGGAAGGGAACTTGGCAACGGTGACACAACCAGTTGAACTTTAAAACCTGAAATGCTTTAGTTAACAGGTCGCAATATTCTAACAATTCAAAATAATTTGCTTAGGAATTATTTCATTAAATATTGAAATCTTCCCTAAGTAAATAGTGTCAATGTTTATCATTTTAGCTGTTCAGTTATTGTTTCCGAATGATTAATATTTACAGAGATGTAAACTCGGACACGTGTTAGATTTGCAACGCGAGTTCATTAAAAATCCTTGCTTTGGAAGCGGTTAATAATTTTAAACCGCAGTGATAACGATAGAAAGAAAACCAAACAAGCATTAGACAGCGGAGATACGAGAAAAGTCAACAATACCTTTCCCTTTTGTACATTCGATTTCTGAATTCCACCCAAAGTACAAATGAGGTTTTTACCACAAGGTCGCGAGGACATCCATTTAAAAGCCACATTTCAATTGTTTATATTCGTTTAATACTTCATAAAGCAAAGCACTTAGCTTCAAAATGCCGACATATCTTTGAAGGTACCGACTTCACCGTAAGTTAATTTAGATTTGTCGTGGATTATTTGTCTTTTCGTCGCTTTTAATGTCAAATTTCCGAACCAAACTGCTTAAACAGTATGTTCTTATATTCTAAAGCAGAATTTGTACGATTGTAAACCCTTTAACTACCTTAAATGGGCGGAATTCGGCGTGAAACAAGTGGCTAGTAATAAGAACTATCTTTTGCAATAATAACTCGAGACCAGAGATAGAAAATCAACCGTACTTTTCTTGGTTGCCGAAGGCTTTCACGGTGGGAGGTCTTCGACCTTGGCTCCCAATTTCTTGGAAGTAATTTTTTTTGTGTTGGTATTCTTTGAGAATGCCTCAGGGCTATAAACTTATAATATTATCTTTATCAAAGATTATTGTTGAAAGAAGTAGATAAATAATTATGAAAAATGTTCTTAACTGGCTATAAAGAAATGTTGGAAAAATAAGATCCACCAATTTTGACTTAATTGCCATAAAATTATTACACTTGATTTTTGTACATTCGTGTCCACTTAAATAGTATCAAATCAGGAATCAAAAATTTGCAGTTATGAATATGTTAAAACATTCCCGCCCTCCAAGAACTGTTCCTTCGTCTTGCCCAGTATAGACCACGTTTCTGTGAAAGGTTCTGTGAAAGGTTCAAATATGCTACACGGGTATTGCACGTTCATTTGACACTCCTTGAAATTTCCGGACATCCAGGTCAGAAATTTATTTTCTAGTTGCCCTAAGAATGTTATAGATTGTAATGTATAGGAATGCTTGTTAGTTGGAACTAAAATTTCAAATTTATCGATTAACACTTTCCTTTGTTTCATGTTTGTTTTTTTGTGGGGTTCAAATGTTTTTAACTAGCGCATTGTAACTAAATGTTGCCACGCCATTTGCTAAATAAAAAATATTAAAAAATGTTTGCGTAAAACTTTTAGCCGACACAGAATATAATCTAGTTAAATGTTGTTCTGGCGGAACTAGATATATCGTTAGAAAGCATGTATTTTCACTAAGGTTTTCGAAAAATATGGAAAGAAATGTGTTCTTTGTAAATTTATCGGTGTTGTGCAACTCTGACTGAACAACCTGGTTGTTGCTTATATTTATAATCAGAACAGGAAGTTATATAATTGATAGTATATATATTCAAGTCTAAAAATAATCCGTTGTACCAGAAGCTAGTTTGATAGTTTGATATTTATTTTTGAGACTGAAGACAATGCTAAAGCTCAACTCAATGTGATGGACATCAAATTCAGTAGAGCCCGGATTTTTTTTCATTAGGAAAAATATTACTAGAAGTATCAATGGTTTTAGGTAACAAAGCATTAAAGTGTTTTTGTTGCTTTGAAAGACATTACATTATAAAAATGTAAAATTGTGTTTAATCAAGCAAATTTTTGTGCAGATTTTTTCAGCAGGGTAACTGAGTACTCGAAGGATAACTCGCGTGCAAAAACTTATTACAGCTTATTTTTTCTAATTACTAAGTCAAAGAGTTTGAAATGAGATGTCTGCGTTACTAAGTTTGGATTTCAAACGTTAATGAAAGCTGTTTAAGTATTGAAACCCTAGCTAGAGCCAAACCTTATCTTGGTGTAGTGTACGGTCTACTGAGGTTTACTGAACTTACTAATTTGTGCAAATGTGTCCAATTTCTCTTACGAAGTTTTGTTACGGATATATGGTATACACTCTACCTACGATACATTGATAAGCTTTGTCCGTGTTTTGCAGATTTGACTACTGACTTTCATCTCGACAATGAACGTTTTTCTTCTTTCATAAAATAGAAATATGGTTAGCTTTTTCATACTTGATTGGTCTATAAGATTATGGGACTCTTATAAACCTAAAATCTAGATTTTGGTTTAGTTTGCGAAGTTTTATATTCATATCAGTGCTTTGCTTTCACTTTCTGTCTCTGTGTATAATTAGTACTGATAGCAAACTTTCTCAAATTTAATAAGCTCAGATTTAATATTGAAAGGTACTTTAAAAGTCTTAAATTCTGTGGAAAGTCAATTATATACACACGTCCTTCAAACTTGCCTCGGTGACAAGCGTTCCTACCAAAATTTCTCAAACTTTTCTCAAATTTAACGAATATGATTTAGATAGATAATTAGATTAATGTTTTGTAAACATGACTAAACACACAAGCAAGCTAAAGAACTCTTTTCTCTGAATGCATTATACAATGAAGTTCTCAACCTGTTGTTTTGGTAGAGTTGGAGCCATAAAATGTTGGCTTTTGTGATAAAGTCTAAGCACGCGATTTTCTACCTACTTTGGACGACTCCCTGGGAAGTGTTGTATAGTAAATTAATGGAATTATTGCACATTTTTATCAATAACACACACAAGAATGATAATAATCTGAAACAACTCGTAAACACGCCTTTATTAGCAATATTGTTATGCTTTATAGTTGCCTTTGTAAACAACACAACATGTTTTTATTTTTGAATTCCTTTTTCCCATTCCTCGTTTTCTTTTTTACTTTCCTTTCATTCTTACTTTCCCAGCACTGTTGTAGTTTCGGGTGCTAATTGAGTAACAGTTTAAGAGTTTCGCTAGAAATATGTCCAAGATCCCTCATCGTACGTGCAGAATGAATTTTGTTTTTCTAGCTATTGTAGAATGGCTCGGTTATTCGTACAAAGACAAGCTACGTGTTGCCCTGTACCATCACGTTGCGAAGGATTGTTTAACTCTTACTTCACAGCAGGGAGACTGGACTCCCCGAGGTGAGACAACAGGTGTGGAGCCTATCCAACAGGGAGCTGTTTATAATAATGGAATATTAACACTTGTACGTGTGATTATAATTTTACGGTCATAGATACCTTAACAAAGGCTGTGTATGCTACACTGGATCTTATTTGTCTATTCATTATTAGGGCCTCTTTTCAAGAAGAGAGGGTTACCCTCTAACTAGAGTTACCCCAGCAATGGGTTTGCCCTATCTACTACATTTTATCTTATTTTAACGCTTTTACGAGCGTACCCGTGGCCTAGTGATATGATGTGTTTGATAGGAAAAACCTGCCCGGGTGAAGTTTATACCTTGTAAAGTCATGGCTAGAGATGACCCGCCTTCCCGGGTCAACTTTTTATCGGTTGTAAAACCTCTTGTATCACGAATAACTTAATCATCATCATAAAACCAGTAAAAGATATTGATAAGACGTAAAATATATTTTAACGTCGAGATTGCCGCCGACAATTTCGTGTGCTAACGAGTTGCTAGAGTACGACTACTACTAGGATTACCCTAACTATATCTTTCTTGTAAAGCTAGGCTATCTATTGACACACTACTGCTTGGCATGTAACTCTAATACAAGGCTTTATGGCTTGTTATTGGAAAAGTGTCATTTTATTTATCACACTTAACTTATTTTAAACGTTAGGTTCTGTAGTGCCGGTTTTATGTTGAATCATTGGTCATTCATTTGCTACTAAGTTTCATCTATTCATCCATTCTTTCATCCATTCATCCATCCATCGATTTTCAATGACCACATTTATTCGAGATATAAACCTATATCCATCCCTTAACTTTGTCTCACCCCTTCCAGTAGCGTTAGAGTCAGTAGACCCTAATTCCATTGTTTCCTTTTGTGTCTCATTGACAATTACACGTTGACAAGTATTTTTTGTTTCACGGTATTAAATGACTTCACTTTAATATACTATACTAATCATAAAACTGAAAAGTTAACAAAAGCGTTAAGCTGTGATTAGAATCAATGACCAACTTCGTTTACTTCACTCTGTACTAAGGCACTTCAAACCACTGGCAAATACTGTTAAGACTAGGAAGAAATAGTAAAACGATATGACCAATGATTTACATCATTAATTTTGATAAGTCGTTACCTTAATCGATTATCTAGTTTCATAGTTTATTCAGTGTTGGCAGCCGTTCGCTTTAATGACAATCCAGAATTCAATTTATAAAGGTTTGTTCTGTTGCGACTTCTGCGGAATATTAGCACACGGTACTGATAGTGTTTTAGAAGAGGTTTTCAGTGGCAGAAGAGAAAGATCAAATTGGTTTTCAGGGGCGGCGGAAGCTGAAAAATTTTGGGGGGGCACTCCAATATTTCACGGTACCTTGAAATGACCCCCTCCCTGTTTAGCTTGATTACAAACGTGTATGTGTGATATTTCAATCAGTAACATTTTGCACGCATTAAACCACTTGCAATTGTGCTGAGAGACACAAAAATGATGCAAGTCGTCGCTAGATATATCGTATATTTTTTAGATACAGAAAATTATGTAATATCAAAATAATAAATAATGGTAATCATAACCAAATCTCATGCGGTTTTTTTTGTGTGTGTGAGGCATTATATTCTGGGGGGGGCCAGGCCCCCCCCAAAAAATCTAGTGGGGGGGCCAGTGCCCCCCCGGCTCCCCCGCTTCCGCCGCCCCTGGGTTTATACTAGTAGTATTTGAACAGCCAGGGGTGAAAAACAGGCAAACTTTTCTGTACTATTGTTCCTTTCTCCTGTTAATCATTCTACACTTTTTTCTTCCCTTCGGTCTTCTTTTTCCCTTCCGTCTTCTTTTTCCCTTCTGTCTTTTGCTTTCCTTCTTTCTCTTTATTTTAGTCCTCCACTTCTGGTTTTATTTTTCACTTGTTATGTCGTTCATTATCTTGTCAAATCGACCCATTCTTTTTCGGAACACAACCTAACTCCAATTTCTAGCTGAAGTCCTCCTCTCATCCTTCAAACAAAGGATCATTTGTGTTGTGCTAACCATAAAAACAATGTTTTGTAACTTTAATCTTAACCGGGAAAATTATCAAAATATAGAGTCAAGTAGAATGAAGGACATTAAACGACCAAAACAAATAGAACCACAATACTTAGTACTTTCTTAAGGGGTAATTCTTAGGAAAATTCGAAGAAATTTTGAGGCACAATCAAAACTGGAGAAGAAACAAGTATATTGTATCATCAGAAATATTTTAAGTTTTTAGTAAAATTACTTTAACATAATGATTTTTGAAGCTCTTCCTCCGTCCATTTCCTGTGCCCAGCCCACTTCAAAACATAGAATTCGAAAAATCTTTCCTTAGGTACACTAAAAAAATACTAACTGACTGAAAAAACCTGATTTTCCTCTCGATGATGAGAGAGAAAAATCTTGGAAAGGGGTTTGAAACAAAACTCAAAAATATAGAAATCCTGATTTTCTTTAAACTGATGGCTAGAGCTAGAGTATATATTATATGTAGACTCGTGTAGCAGAAATGGAGAACTCTTCTGGGGTGAAGCTAGAGGTTTTTAAGTAAGGTACCATAAAAACCACTCGCAACTGAGATTTGTGTTTTCTTTTAAATTTTCTTCAAGTATTGATGATCATTTTCTCTACAAATATTGTTCTATCTTGTGTATTTTTRATTATTACACTTAATAAGTGATTTTTTGTTTCATGGGTTAAGTAAAAGACTCTTAAAGAATGCTTTTCTAAGGGAACATTTCTATGTTTTAAGTATTTTTCTATAAGTAACGCGATAATGATGATGATTTTATTGATGCTTTAAGAGTAGAAATTTGCCAATACCAATTTATTTAAAATTATATCTTTTTAAGTAAAGTTTACTTTTTATCTCTTATTTCTATTCTTACATTACACTATGGCGATTAGAAATGACATTGTTTGTTTTTTATTTGAGCTTAGAAAAC